TTATTTCCCTCATTAAAATGCAAATAAATTTATAACATTTTGACATGCGTTTTTTCTGGATTTGCTGTTGTTATTCTGTCTTTCACTGTTCAAATAAACCTACCATTAAAATTATAGACTGATCATTTATTTGTCAGTGGGCAAACGTACAAAATCAGCAGGGGATCAAATACTTTTTTCCCTCACTGTATAGCCCTGTGAGCCATGCGGCTCTTAAGTCGGGTGCAACCGCAACAAACAAAATTTGAACACAGAACATCTTAAAGCGACAACGCGTAACAGAAACATCCTGGAATAAACCAGCAAATATTCCACACACAAAAACTTATTAAAACGCTGTGTGCAAAAATCGCAATGTGGTGCAAGCCAACAACAACACCATAAGACAATATAGATTAACCATGTTTTCGAATCACCAAAATAAAGCTATAAAAACAATGTAACAACAGTAATCATAGGAACTCAATGTTCAAATTTTCTTGCTGTGGTTTTCACACCTGATGATGATTGCTTGTGTTGCAGTCGAAACGTCGTGATAATTTTATTGTTTTATATTTTTATTATTTTATTGTTTCCCTTCTACGTGACTTTACCGAAAGAACCAAGAACAGGAACTGTGATTTTAAGTTTAACAATAAACGATATACATAACACGTACGACAAAACCTGCAGCCATAGCTGGCAGCACGACACTCCCAGTGTATGTGTGAGTGAGTCAGCAGCAGCGTGAGTGAGTGTATGATGTGCGAGTCAGTGTATGATGAGTGAGTCAATAGTAGCTTGAGTGAGTCAGTGTATGATGTGTGAGTCAGCGCACGATGTATTAGCCAGCGCATGATGAGTGAGTGAGTGTATGATGTGCGAGTCAGCGTATGATGAGTGAGTCAATAGTAGTTTGAGTGAGTCAGTGTATGATGTGTGAGTCAGCGCACAATGTGTTAGTCAGCGCATGATGAGTGAGTCAGTGTATGTTGTGTGAGCGAGTCAGCGGCAGTGTGAGTGAGTGTATGATGTGCGAGTGAGCCAGCACACGATGAGTGAACCTGTGTATGATGAGTGAATGGGTCAGTGGTTGTGCGAGTGTATGATTTGTGAGTGAGTAAGCGCATGCTGAGCGAGTCAGTGCATGGTGTGTGAGTGAGTCAGTGCATGATGTGTGAGTGAGTCAGTGCATGATGTGTGAGTGAGTCAGTGCATGATGTGTGAGTGAGTCAGTGCATGATGTGTGAGTGAGTCAGTGTATGATGTGTGAGTGAGTCAGTGTATGATGTGTGAGTGAGTCAGTGCATGATGTGTGAGTGAGTCAGTGCATGATGTGTGAGTGAGTCAGTGTATGATGTGTGAGAAAGTGTCGGCTCCCTCTGCTCGCGCCGTTGCCCCCCCCCCCCCCGGCTCCGTCGCCCCCCCCCCAGCTCCGTCGGCCCGGCTCCGTCGGCCCGGCTCCGTCGGCCCCACCAGCTCTCCCGGCTCCGTCGGCTCCGTCGGCCCCCTCGGCTCCATCGGCTCCCTCCGTCGGTTCCCTCGGCCCCCTCACAACGGCCCCGCCAGCCGCTGCTGGAGCGCGGCCCGGGAGCGCGCACGCCTCAGGCGGCCATCTTGGGTGTCAATTAGGCGATACAACCACACACAACAAAAAACACAACACCATTTGTCAATAACACATTGCATTAAGAGAAAAAATATCTAACAGGCGACGTTTTGGGCAATGGCCCTTATAAAGAGAGACGTGAAGTTAATAAAAGTTGGAGACTGCAACGTAGGCCATCGGCCACTGTTGTGAATTCAATGTTCAGGGTTATCATAAACAGAACTTCACTCAGATTAAGAGCAGGACAAGAGCCTGGATGGAGTACAAATCGTGTCTCAGGAGCCTCGGGATCTGTTGCAAGCAGTCGCCTACAGGAGAGGAGATATTTGTATATTGACACCAAGATGGGAATGTTTAGTGATAATGCTGATGAAATGTTATTTTTACTTTATTTCTACCTACGTGACTTTACCGAAAGAACCAAAGAGTATGACTACTGATGAAATGTATCAAGCCTTGGAGAGATGTCTGTTGGTGATGCGTCAGTGACCCCCTTGAGCACGGAGACGTGTGCCATGACCGTACTACCACTCTAAAGGGGCCTCGAAGCAAACACAGAAAGGAGAATAAACACAAGCACGCACGCAGCAGACACGAGTTTAACAATTGTGTTTACTCAGATCAAGTGGCACTGCAGTACCCCCCAGCCACCCCCCCTTTTCCTGATGACGACCGCTTGTGTTGTGATCGAAACGTAGTTTTTGTTATTTTATTTCTTTGAACCTATCTACGTGACTTTACCGAAAGACCCAAATAATACGATCAGATAAAATTGTTGCTACGCTTCAACACAAGGCTGTGCTTGTAAATGTGTTTCCTTGGTAGGAAATTCCTCATTCCTATGGCAGGGGAGAGTGTCTCCATCAGAAAACCACTGTTGAATTCCCCAAAAAGTGGTACTCATTGTATTCACCTCGAAAGGAGGGATGATGGGCTGAGTCAACCCCCAACCAGGATTAGGAACTCTCAGGTAGAGAAAGGTTTATGATGGGAAGCATATACAGCAGCCGTACTCTGTATACACCTGCTGTAGAAAGAGCCAGGCCAATGTTAACTGAGTCTAACATGAGCACTGCTCAATTGCATCCGTCCAATCATGGGTAACTACCTGATCACGTCAATGGCAACTACAGTGCTAACAAAACAAACAAGGTTTGAAGTTAATCCAATTATAATACAGAAGTGTGTTATATAATTAATTGCATTTTACAGCCTTTTGTAAATTCACTGCTGGATGAAGAGGCTTCCCAAGCCGTGGCAATCATGAGGGTTGCTTGACCATAATTCACCACCGCTGGTGAGTGTTGGGTTGAAGGATGGGGGGAGGAGGGGTCTACGTCTGAATCAGATATCACTCGCCCCTGATGGTGAACTAAGGCCTGGATTGAACTGAGAGATTTCGGTTCGCAATGCAGCATCGCACGTATAACTGCGCCGAGCACTCTGCCCGAAAAGAATATTTCACAACACATTTCACGATAGTGACACGTCGTGTAGAGGTATTTTTCAGACTTTCCGTGTGGCGTTGCAGTGCATTACATAACGCTTTGGCTGTTATTACATAGCGTGCTAGCGAATGCCAATAACAAACAAGACCGATTAAATAAATAACAGGACCAAATAACCACGTGAATGAAATCATAATACGCAAACAACCAACGCCGAGCCATTGTTTCCAAAAAGAACAAACTGTTCAGCGTTTCCCACCAGAGATTCGCTCCCGATTGTGATATGGATAATCCCACTGAGTGGCCGCGTTTGGTACAGAGGGCACAACCGCCCGCCCGACCTCTGTGCGAGCCCAGAGGCCGAGCGGCTCACTGGGATCAGAGCCGCTCAACAAGTGGCCGGTACGCGGAAACGAGAATCGCGTTTCACGCCGCGACGCCGAACACAACGGGCGGCGCGAACGCGCAACGCCAACAGCAGCGGCGGCGGCAGTGCGGGTGGCTGAGAGGGCCGGCCTGGCCAAGTCGCCCCAATGGCCGTGGAGGCGCGGGGTGACGAGAGAGAGAGAGATGGGGGGGGGTCCGAGGCAGCAAGTCTCGTGCGGAGCGAGTGGGCCGTGACTGAGGGCCGCGGTGGGTGCCGCGAGTTGCCGTGCACAATAACGCCGCGCGGCATTCCTGCTCCGCAAACCGAGCCATGCAGCAGCAGCACCACCATCATCCAGGTAACGTCGGTGAGACGTCACCCAGAAGGCGGCGGCGGCAGCAGCAGAGTGCGACCCGATTACGAAAAGTGGTGGCGCTCTGTTCTCTTTCAATGAAAAATATTATTTAAACAATGGGGTACCGCGAGTGATCTCAGTGTGTGTGGGTGGTGTTATTTGCGGTGTGTATGCTAATGCGGTATATGCTTTGCTGTAGATAACATTCGAGTTTTGTAGAAGCGTTATCGATTTAATTAAAATAAAAAGTTATTTTAAAACCGGTATTTTGTGTACTGATGCTGCGTGCAATGTTCGATTTACATGCACGTAAACAAAAACAGGCAAATGTGATTAATTTTTTTTGTACGAATTACATAATTATCTAGCATTTTCCTGTAAGCTTGTGTTCAGTGAAAAAATATTTCAATGAAAACGTGAGAGGATATAAAAAAAACAAATTTTCTCACGATTCGCAGGCGAGTCTTACGCGAGAGACGAACAGAAACCGACAACAGCAGTGGCACGCGCAGTGTCTCTAGGGAATGGACACGCGTCGCTCGTGTGCGGCCCTCAGGCGAAGCAGAGATCCCAGCAGCAGCAGCAGCAACAGCAGGGTGGAGACCGGCTGTCCCAGCAGCCGTGCCACGGGATCACGCTCGAGAAGAAGAGACACATCATCTCGCTGCTGCCCGACACCGCCCGGCTAGCGTCGTCTGTCGTGGACAAACACAAGAGGCTCTCACAGAGACTGTGCCGGGAGAGGGAGCAGAGGTGGGAGTCACCAAGCGACGTTGTGCCCCGCGCCTCTCCTCCGCCTGACGCTGGAGCGAGGACTCGGAGAGAACACCCGGAGGCGAAGTCCGCGAAGAGCGGCAACTCGAGACGCGCGCCCGGCGAAACGCTTTCGGACAAGGAGAACGACGCGCAGCTCCCGGCCGCGGCGGACGGGCGACGCGGGAGGGCGTGGGAGGGGAGCGGCGCTGGCTCCGTTCCAACGGGCGACCAAATTAACGTCGGCAAATGCTCCAAAGTGCCCTTCAACGTCTTGACAAGTCAACAAGAGGCTTTAATGGTCGCAGAGAAACGGTTTCCATGGTATGCCCGGGCAATGCATTCCCGTCGGCTCCGCACAGCAGCGGTGCGAGGGACCGCTTGCCCACCTCGCCGGCGAAGCCGGATCCCGCGGACGGCTCCCTGCACGAGCTGTCGAGCAGTCTGCCCATGCCCGAGCCAAGCGGAGGCAGCCCTCTGCTGTCCCGTCACCGCGCCCGATCGCGCTCCGTCAGCCTGCCTCTCAAGGCTGACAGCAAAGTTCAGGATCTGCCGAGCTTCGCCAACATCCGCGAGTTTACCGTAGAGGACGGGAGGGCCATTAGCCGCGCCGGAACGACGTCGGGCCCCGCGCTGCACCAGGTGTACCGGGGAGAGCACGAATTTCCGGGCGGGGGTAAGGCGACAAGGAGAGTGGAGGACGCGTGTCTCTGCCACTACGCGGGCTCTTGGAAAAAGACGCGCTCGCCCATTCAAGAGGCGACGGTCCTGCGGTTGCCGAGGCTTCGTGCGGTCAAAGGGATGCCGTGACAGTGGGACGAAACCCATGGCTTCTACAGCGGGAGTATGTTCGTGGGCCAGTTAGATATTGCAAGGAACATCACCGTTCGAAAGCCATTTCCCAGTCAAAAGTTCAAAGCACTCCCTTGAATGTTACGATCCAGCTCAAGCCCAAAGCTTCCACCCAGAATTCCCACGCACTGAACAGGTCATATGAAGTACAGGACTCCTTCCCCGCTGTGGCAACAATGTTCCAAACACGCCACAGACGCGGTGGCCTTTGTTCCACACGGAGTGGCTGATCCTGCAGTGGAATCGACAGAGCAGCGGGGCTGTGTAAGAAACGGAACGTTCCAACGTGTGCTATCCATGGCGACCCCAGCCTGTAGGAGGGAGGAGAGAGGCGCTGCCCCTGGTGACTGCTCTCTAGGTGAGTTGGACCCAACTGACCCGTTCACTCTAACGGTGAGGCACTGAATGTCGAAACCGATCCAGAGTTTGGCTGAACTATTGCTGCTGAAATTGTGTACTCCCAGAAGACCCTGTGGCTGGTGGAATACTTATTATTTGACGTGTCTTTAATCTGTAAAAGAGACGTATAGTCTGCGTATTAATATTGTTACTTATATTTTCCACGACGCACTTGGTGATTTTGTGCGATGGAGTGCAAAGTCTATTCACAAACGTTAAAGTGCTGACGTTAGCAGTGGTGCAACAGCACAAATCCGAGCCTCACCACGTTCGCCATGAACACCGGTCCAGAGGAATAAACAATACAATAGAATAGCAGACAATTCGCCTTCTCATATCCGTTCCTCCAAATAAACAATAAAGGGTTTATCCCGTTAGCCACACCGCCTTTTTAGGAGTACGCATGTATGTTGAGCTTCTTCCGCGCCGTACATAGCCAACCCTGACAATCAGAGTGGTTCAGCACAAGTAAACTGTGAATATATACTTACGAAAAAAACTCCACACCTTTCAAGAACAGTGGCCTTAAAAGAAAAATATATAATAGACGACGTTTCTGGCAATGATCCTTCTTCGTGACACGTAAATGAAGATGGGCCATGACCTTAACAACATGTCCTCGTATATATATTAAAGCCACAGCGTTATTGACTACGAAAGTAGTGTTTTATCTAGTAAAGGGCTGTCATTATTGACCCTGTCAGCCATAGTGCTTGTTTCACCATTATTACTTCACCACATTGGTCAGTGTGTATTTGGTCAAGGGAGCGCACAGGAACGGTTTAGATATCCCTCGCCCCTGATGTTAGCCATGGTCCGAGAATCACGCTATGGGTCATTCGATCATAGCACAGTGTGCTCACACTGCGCCACCGCTCCAACCCACGGTAACACGGCAAAGCAAATGTGACATAACAAGGCGCAAAACGTTTTGAATGCCAAACCACTGCATCTATCATACGTGACGTGACGATCACAGGCTTGGATATCGCGTATGTTGACTGTCACGCACACGTTGTTGTTGTTGTTGCTGTCAAATAGCTCGTCCCACCTTGGCCAACAACAACAGCACGCGCGCTGCCATGCGAGTGAGCGGTGACGCTGCTCAGCCACGTAAGGGGTGAACCCTGTTTGTTTGGACTCATCCCATTTGTCACGAGTCTGTTGCCAAGATTGCATCACTTACAAACTCGTCGTGGGGTTTTCCGATCTCCTTAGCAGCGAGTGTTGATGCCGAGGAACAAATGGAGAAGGTGGGCTTTCAACAAGAAATGCGATGAGTCGCGTTAGTCTCGTGTCGTCACCTCTGATCAAACAACAGTCTGCGTGACACCGCGGCTTATAGCGCAGCCTGCAATGGTGGGAGAGTTCCGGTGGTCAACTCAGGCCATCATCCCTCCGGGGTGAATAAAATTAGTACTTCTTAGTGGGGGAGGCCACAGCGGTTGTCCTATACAGTATATACAACACACCGCCAATCAAGTCAGGCCTTGATTTGTTTATGGCGTCAATCCACTGCTGGATGGAGGTTTCCTGATACCTCCACCATAGGAATTTAGAATTTCTCCACCATTGGCCCAGGGCTCTAAACGGGACATGAGCATCGTTTAGTTGAGTGGGAGGCATATCTGATTGACATTGTGAGAAGTGTCACATGTCCACTGGTTGCCAGATGTCAGCTCTCCATGTGGGAATACCAACAGCTGCTTGAGCTCTCAACCCTTTAGTTCAAAACCAATCAAATGACAACAAATGGGACATTAACTGATTATGACAACAGTGTTAACAGGGTTTGGTCAGATAAAATGACAATATGTATATAGGTATATATATATACACACACAAACATAGGCTAAATACGCATCTGGCTGTGGAGTCGAGACTATTGGTGTAAATGTTGTTTGTGGGCACCTTTTAAAGATCAGTATGGCACACAAGGGCGCTGGTGGGGCAACGCTCTACCTGATGACCTTCTTTCTCCAGTCCTCATGCCAGAATACCGCACCCTCCAATTCACCCATTCCACAGTGATCCATGGAGTGAAATATGATCAGACAACTCCCACGGACTAACAGCACGTGGAGGCCTTCATCCAGCAGTAATTTGACAAAGGGTTATACTGTACAGTACATTATTTATATCAGCAGCAACCATGGTCAATCCACTGGAGTCGAGACTATTGGTGTAAATGTTGTTTGTGGGCACCTTTTAAGATCAGTATGGCACACAAGGCGCTGGTGGGGCCAACGCTCTACCTGATGACCTTCTTTCTCCAGTCCTCATGCCAGAATACCGCACCCTCCAATTCACCCATCCACAGTGATCCATGGAGTGAAATATGATCAGACAACTCCCACGACTAAACAGCACGTGGAGGCCTTCATCCAGCAGTAATTTGACAAAGGGTTATACTGTACAGTACATTATTTATATCAGCAGCAACCATGGTCAATCCACTGCTGGATAAAGGCCTCCGGCAAATCTGGCGATGTAACAATTCCAATTCACCTCGGACCTGCATACGAGCTTATTTCACCGTCTCTTTGGTAGATGCCTTCTCACATGCATTCATTAACTTGGCTACCACTCCGACATTACTCTTGACCATTGTCCATCGTCCCTTCCAGCCGTTATGTGTGCTGACCAAGCCCACTCGCTGTTCTTAAGCCTTTGGATGATGTCTTTGGCCTGTTAATGTTGTCCCATCCATGTGTTCCTCTTTCTGTATCTCAGTGTAATTCCACACCTGCATCTTTCCATGTTTCTTTGCACATTTTTCAGTCTCCGTTCGATATATTGTTTGTTAATCACCATGATTTTGAAACAATGACGTAATTAACGTCTTTATTTAAAAATTTTTTTAATAACTATTCTGTTGGTCATACATTTTTTTTATTACGTAGATTATATTATTGGACTTGGACAGAAGATGACACGGTTTACAAGGGATGGTGGCCGTTGGGCAAAGAGTAATCACAGAGTGATAGCCAAGAAATGGAATGCGTCCGAGAATACCTACACTGAGGAGATGGAGCAATGAAATCAGTTCCGTGTGCAAGTACTGAGTGGATTGTTTCATTGTAAAAATCATGTGAGGTGGTGGTGGCTAGGTGAGGCCTTCATCCAAAGTGGATTGACCGTGGCTAATAATAACGATCATGATTTGTTTTTTATATGGTGTCTCCCTATACGCGCAGACGTCCTCAGGGCAAATGACATTGCATCTCACCTCAAACACCCATTAAAAGGGCATCCTCAGTGGCAGCTATCTCTGTGATACGAGGTGACTCAGCACCTTGCTTGCAAACTGGGCATTAGGCTGCCAACAGGGGGCGATGATTGCTCTGCAGAATCCCAAATGAGTAACCTGCGGCAACCCTTGGCGTTTTAAACATTATTCCATTTCGTAGATAATATCAATAATAAACACAAATTCCCAGACAGAATATTCGTGGACAAATAGACTGGCAAGTAGGCAAATGGACACGAAAGCAAGGTGACCCACACCTATGCTGACAATGGTCCTTCTATGCTTGACACTCCAGTGTGTGTTTCTTTTCATATTTTTCACAAGAGGCCTGAGATGACGTTTTCCAGGGGTGCTGAAAAAGCAAAGGCCAAAGATCTATCAACAAGGCGCACTAAAAATATTACACTCACATGTTAAAATATACAGGATCAGGAGGGCTATATACCAAGTCGCAGTGGCATACTGCGCCGCACGTTATACATTTGTAAAGGAGTTCCCGACGACTCACTCGGAGGCTAAGGTGAGGTAGGGGCTTCCGCCAAGGTTTTATTACAAATCTTTAACAATACACAGGGGTGAACAACTCCCAGGGGTTAGGGGTCCCGGGCTAGGTCCCGACATAGCCGGCTGCCCTGTGCTGTCTCCTCTGCCCTGGCCGTGGGATCAACCAACACGGCCCGAGCGAGGAGCACAGCCACGTTCTAGCCTGGCACTGTGCTCTCCCCTATCCCTACCCTCTTGCCCTGGCTCCCCGTTTCACCCTTCTCAGACCCTACTCTCCAGCTACGACCCCTCTTACGTCACGGGGTCCCCTTTTTATCCTTCAGGAGCCGTGACGTCACTCTGCTGCCCGAGCGCATGATGTCACGTCATCACCCTGGACAGCACAAGTGATGCCACTTCCCCATTCTCCTCTACATTACCCCCCCCCCGTCAAAAAAATAGCCGACCCGGCTGCAAGAAAACCCCAACCTTAGGGCCGCACGGCATCCCAGGCATCACAATAACAACAACCACATGAACTGGAAAAAAAAAAAGGTAAGATGGCTTCTTCCGGCCGGCAGTGGCCGAGCGGGCGCCGGGGCTGGGTCCGACGAACGGCCGCCCAGGCCATCACCGGAGCCGCATCCCCCTTGAACGGGTATGCGCTGCCGGCCCGTTTCCCCGTGTGGCGTCCGCCGCCGGTGCAGGTGGGCTGTCCGCAGGCAACAGGCCCACCGCCGTAGCCTCCGGTGGCCGGGGGGGTCCCCGTCGGCGCTACTTGGAAGGGCCCTGGGGGCACACAAACAGGGCGAACGCTGCCCCCGTCAACAGGACCCGGCCGGACAGGCACGACGGACGCATCACCCGCCGGCCGCCCCGGAGTTGGGGGTGGATCCCCCAGGGTAGATGGAATATAGCGTTTGAGCCGGGACGGGTGCACTATCCACCGCCGGCGTCCGAACCGAATCCGGACGCACTGCGGCCGGGGGACTTCCACGACCTCAACGGGACCCTGCCAAGGGCGGTGCAATTTGGCAGATGTGCCAACCGGGACCTGGGGACAATACAGCCATGCTTTCTGGCCCGCTACCCACGGGAGGCCCGCTGCCTGGTGTTTGGGCAGCCGCTCATTAGCCGCCTGCCAGCCGGCGGAATTCTCGGCAGCGGCCTGCCGTGCCTCGCGCAGCCGGTCAAGCGCGACTTTCAAAGGGACCGGCACAGCCGAC